GCTTCACCCGTAGGGCAGTCTCGGGCGAAGTGTCCAACTTCACCGCATCGGAGACATGCTTTCTTGTCATAACGCCTCTGGCGTTCTTCCTTAGAGAGACCGTCGTGTCTCTTTCCTCGGGATTTCTTGTCTTTGGCCTTCTCTTGTACTTTGCCGGTCATGATGGCATCGCCATCCCTGTCATACCTTCCACGCTGTCTCTTTATGTTGGCCATGTTAGGGCGGAAGTACTTTTTCTGATCGTTTCGCTCCCATAGCCTGTTGTCGATGCGTGTAGCAAGCTCGATCAACGCGTGTAGTGTTCCGGGCTTGTCGTGGTGTACAAGGCCATCCTTGACATTTTCCTTGAGGCCTGCTTCGAAGACCGTTCGAAGTGCCGCATCATCCCAATCGATCCTAGCCTGTAGTTGCTTGAACTCCGCCGTGTAGGCTGATACAGACTTGGTTTGCCTCAGTTGAGTAATCCGTTTCTCAGCCTGATTCTTCGCGTCTACTTCTCCGAAGATGCGTCCCATTTCTTGTTTGAATTCCGTCCAACTCGCGAACATGGTTCGGGTTTCTTCCTTAGTTCCATGTTGCGTGATATCCGTAAGGTAGTCGTCCACGTATGGCTGCATCCAATTGGAAGCCTTTCCTTTCAGGTACGTGCTTGCCATGAGGATCTTTTCCTGGTCGTTGGGTACTTCGTTGAACTCGCAGTACAAGTCGATGTTGGTGAGGAACGTTCGCAGTTCTTCTCGACTTCCGTCGTACTTCTCGGGTGACGCCATCTTGGGTTTCTTCGTAGTAGATGATCGTTCGTTGGGGGTGGCCATCAGCTGACTTGCAAGCTGATTGATCATGTTCTGCATCTCGAGCATCTGCCGAGACTGAACTTGGGCCTGTTGCCTAAGGTGTCTGAGCTCCGTGGCACTGGGAGTATCTTCTGTCTCCGAGTCGGATGCATCCAGCATCTCATTGTTTGCTGGTGCTGGTGCCGAGGGTCCCGGACCCTGGGCCGCGTTGTTCTGAGTGACTCTTGGGGCTGACATCTTCCTTAATCGGGCAACCTGGTTGTTATTCACGTCCACTGAATCCGATGGTGGTCAAAGTGTTACACGGGGTTAGGCTATACTTCTCTAGGCTCGGTCCGTACTAAGGCGAGGTAGACTAAAGCGGTAGTCCGTGAGGTTTGTCTGGCGATTCTGTGGAAAAGAGTTATCGTGGAATAACTGCAGGTAAAGACAATCCAATTCTATAAACGATAGAATAACTAGTTAACAATCTGTGTAAGAGATGAACTATTTGAGTTGACCACAATGAGTGTAATAATGAAATCCAACACATTCTTATACCCATTGCCTTAGGTCCTGTCCTCCCTGGCCTCCCATCCTAGAGGGAGGTTTGGGAGGACCGTGGCTTCCCTAGCCCCACTGGCCTCCCGGAGGCCTGGTCTTGGCGGGATGCCAATCCTGATCACGTGACCCCGAGCCCCGCGATCATCGTTGCGTTCTGACTTGGTCGTGGTTGGCCTTCAACCCCTTCACCCCATGTCAAGGAGAGAATCCTTTGTGTTACCTGTAACAAGCGCTTAGCAAAAGCGTCGCACGGCTACTTAGCTACACGGCTATAGATATAGCGTTAGCAGAAATAGATTACAGCTAAGCTGCTTTAAGCTTAGTATGCGGGTCCTTCTTATCTAGCACTTCTAGTAGGCGGTCTTGCATTTAGCACAAAAGCACAACAACCTCTTAAGCTTATGCGCTGTGCTTAGAATAGAATAGTAATATAATAAGCTTTACGTTAATAGACTTTTAATAAGATACATAAGCTTAAGACGCACCTACTGCTAGCTAAAGCGAGGCGGTCGCGTAACGCTTACACTAAATTGCTGTATTACACGGTAAGCTAAACCTATTCCTAAAAAACGTTAAGAGAGAATAGAGGTTATAGCTTAGGGCTACTATTCCAAGAATGTCTATTCCTCTAACCTGTTGTTAAGTTTGTTGTGTTAGGGATTGTCTGTGGCGTCCCGTCACGCAGGGATGGACGTTAGTATACTCAGCAATAGATCGCATCAGTCTAGCATCGATATACACACCATGGCTTAGTATAGCGTCGGATCTTCAATAGTATCTTGAGAATTCATCTTGAGGCAGCAGAGGCGTTTATAGGGTTTGAAAGGGAAGATATTCTAGGAAGTAGAGGAGTGATTAATCTCAGAGACTCAAGGCAAGAGGCCCCTTTATATTCCGCTTCTTACTGTTCAGCTAATGTCTAGCATTGCCTGCGCCCCAGGGTTTCGGTTTCAGAGAAGTAATGGACATGTTACCTTGCCTGCCCGCTCATGTACGCCCTGCGATATCGCACGGTACTCAGGGCTGTGTAACGTCTGCCCCTTTCACTCCTCTCATGGACAAGATCCGTGCAGCACTGCCGAATCCCTTGCACTTATGGTTTTCTCTATGTTAGTTTCCTACCGCTTTGTAAGCCTAAACCCTTGTTAATTGCTTTATGGACTATGAAGAATTCACTAATCGGTGACTGCTGTGTCCTTGCGTATAGAAAATTGTACAGGCCTATCTGATGTTGGAAAGTATGCCACTCAAGCGATTGTTCATATCACTTCCCTTCTGCAGCAGTTAATGGACAGCGCCAGCTACGCCACTACCGGGCATCATGATGCCGCCGGCGCTCCAGTTTGGCAATAGGGTACCTGGTAACATCGCTGGTTCGCTGTATCCCCGGGCATTGCAGGAGCAGTGGTTTCCAAATTTCACCAAAGCTTACAGGAAACGTGACCAGCCCAGCTACAAATTCATGCGGCGTTACTATGTGCGGCTTCAAGGGGGGAGCTGTCTTCCTTGAGGGTGGGGTGGGGTCAGGCGCAACGTAGGTGAGGCACCGCAGTACACTGCACAGCCTTTCCCGTTCTTTCGCTCCTATGAAAAATCGTACCAGGTAGTTCTGAGACATCAGTTATGCCTCGTTCATGCGATACGCTTGTTGGTGCTGGGCCTCGAACACTCACAGCGAACATGCTCGACAAGTAAGGCATATTAATACCCGAATCTAGTATATAAGTGGGTGTCTTCCCGTGCAAATGCTGTACAGATCCTCTTTCTTCGACATAACTTCGTTCTTTATCGGCTTTACTCTTTGCTTTTCTGTTGGACTCCTGCTGAGCGTAGTGCTTATATATCGCGATGTCTAGCCTTACAAACCGAACAGGATAGACGAGAGGTTGGGGCACCCCTACTTCTGGGAGAGAGCTCTGTCTGCTCTCCTCGACACTTTTCAAGCATGTTTGTTAATAGCTGGTATAACTGCAATCGTGTTCGTGCTTCTCTCCAAAGGCGAGATGTACTAGATCGACATAGCTGTACGATGCAACCTCCAGCTTCTCACCGGCACAAATGTAAGAAGATTCAAGTAAACTCTTCGGGCTTGCTAATTTGTGGGACAACCAGCTCGGCCGAATCCTACGTGTTTTGATGTTTCCCCACTGGGCTATATGGTTGACATATATAATTACTATCTTGACGGCCCCGAACATCGTATATCCTATGAGGTAGGAAGTATGATTCCAATCTTCTTATTCGACTAATTGATATAGAAGCAGTAGTGGTTACTTTGCTTGCGACTCGGAGCCACTTCATCTCCTTGCAGCAGCATCAATCCTGTCCTCAGCAGTTTCACGTGGACGGCTAGAAGACCATAAGAACTCCGGATCGGGACAACACGAATTGGGATATAAGCGATTGTTGACCGTCTTTATCATCACCAACGCAATCGCGGGGTTATGCCAGCTGTGGAGCGATCTTCATCTACAGTATATCGCTCGCCGAGAGTAGGGTGGACACTAGCCTTTGCCAGGGGATTTTCCTGGTATGTTCTGATCATCGTCGTAGGGCAATCTGACTGCGGACAGGCTTGTACAGCGACACAGTTGCTGTGTCTACTCGCTTTCTGCTTAGCTGGAATTAAGCGCCGAATTATTGAACCTATTAAAGCTCTAACGCGTAAAGTACGATTAACGAATGTAGGTAACAGCAATATGGAGGGTGCAGTGAGATTGGACAGCCTATAAAACGTTACGAGTTCTACACGAAGACAGGCGCAGGAGTTTGAGGAGGCCTTTGCAATCGACAAGGCCGAGTGATATTAGTTTAGGCTTGACGTCAACCTGGTCCCTTTTGACATTAGTGACGGGCTGAGAAAGCGTCCAGAAATAGAAGGGAGAGGGAGGAGGAGGGTGTGGCAGAGATCTCACCGAGCTTTGATGGAAGAATACTACAAGGCCTATTACTTCGGCATAATTCAATGTGGAACTAACGATCACCCTCGGAAACTGTACAGCTCATGCGTCTCGCCCTAAGAGTGGCGATGTTGCATGATGTCGGAACAGATTCGTGCATAAACTTCACACTGCCCGAAGGAAGAGGCTCCATCACTCACACGCCATGGCGTTAAGACATTCATGCCGATGACGGCTGTCTGCCTTGTGGATCAGACTCGCCGAGTCTTTCATTCGACCAGGAAACTCCATCGCAAACTGCGCATTAACATCGACCTGCACGAGCGGAGCAGCTTCCACAATTCGTACGCCCTGGGGGCAGGACATTCATGCAGATGAAGGATGTCTGCCTTGTAAGCAGACTCATCTGCCCTCTCATTCGATCAAGAACAGTCTGGCAGGAGCTGTTCGAGTCACTAGCGGCATCAAAATCATGCACACGACGTCCAAAGCCGCCTTGGGCACATGATGTGATAGTATGGGAATGTCTGATTCGACCGATGAAGAGTAGAGATGGAAGCAAGACCGCATTCATGTCTCACTACACCTGAAGAGGCCACTGGTGGAGCATTGAAGCGCTTCTTGTTGCCCTGACAGGGACCATGGCGTGGTAGCAGAGGTGGATGGAACAGTTTGAGCTCCACAAATAGATCAGTAATATCACGTGTCCACAGGTGTATTACAGTATAAAGCCAGCGCCCTTCTTGCATTTTGTCCGTACAACATGGATTCACAAGACTGGACCGATTCCTTCACCCCCGGGTTTGACGACTTGGACACCTTCCTTCTAATGGACGTACACAGATGGACCTGCGGTCCTACTAACACATTCGACGCTGTAAGTCTCCATCAGTTACCGTGACCTGATGTTGCTAACGTTTGAATGAAGAGCATGTTTTTTCAGTCAGAATTCCAAGCAGACGACCCGAAGATAGACTGCACGCCGGGGCAAATTTCCCTAGCCGAAACTCTCGAAATCGCAGAACTCAGGAAGGAACCTAGAGCGATGCTTACTTTGTCCGACATCTCCGCCATTTCTTCACCGCCACAAGCCGGAGAGTCGGGCTGGACATCGTCACTTCAGGCTTTCATGCTCGGCCATCAGGACGTCCAAGCGTTTTCTCAAGCATCTCTCAGTCTCTCTACTACCTATGTCATTGCGAGCTTCGAGCCGGCAGAAATGAAGCAAGAAGTTGGCGATCTTGGGCCGAAGAACAAGATAGGAACGGTATGCGAGCAACACTCCTACGTGGAGAAGCCTAGCACATTCGGAAGCAACAACGAAGTCATTGCCCAGGAAACCCAAATGACAACTTCTTCCCTTGAAGATCAAGCCATGGATGGCGCGAAAGATGACCCAGCTACAGAACCATGCCAGCCAGCAACCCCCAAGTATGTTCCTGAGCAAGCCGCAGGCCGAGGTCCTGATTTAGGAAGCCCCACATTTCCAACCCTCCGAGAACAACTAGTGGGTCGGGAGGCTGACAAACATGGTGTCAACATGGCCACTGACCAGCCGCGAGAGGCACAAGCAGAGCCCAAGGCCCCTGAGGATGCCAACCAGCCAGTAGAAACACTTACCCGCTCTCTAAACCGTAGGGAGGCGGGGAGGCCATCCGAGCCGCCCGTAAGCCGTGCGAATAGTGGGCAGATTGAGCAACCGCGTCCATGTTTGAGCCTTGCAGACATCGGGAAGGCCGACCTGGTACAGAAGCCACCTGCAACCCCTTCGGACGACGAGAAGGCTGAGCAGTCCCACAAGCTACCTGTGAGCCTCGCGGACGATGAGGAGCTTGACCAGGCACATGCACCATCTGCGACCGATGCAGGTGATGGGAAGAAGCATAGGATGTCAGAAGCATTGCGAGCGCTCAGTCAGGAGGATGCGAAAGTGGTGACTTCCTCCACGCCTTTGGTGTCTTTATCGACTGAGAAGCAACGTGCCGAGAGCACTGATGCAAGCAAGATGGCTCTCAATGCCAGTCTCTTGGAACGAGTAAATACTTCTGATCCAATTTCAACAGAGGTTGCACCAGAACCTGTCCCTCCCAAACGACCTGCGCCCTTGGGACCTAAAACTATCATTCGAGGTGGTAGTGTTAATGAACCGATCGTTATCGATGCGTCTGATGACGAACAGGAAGAGGAGGATTTAGGCGATCTAGGGCACAGGAAACGCCTCTCAGCATCACGCCGTGTTCGACCTAGAGCACAGCAAGCCGATGGAGTTGTCTTGTGGACCGACCCAAAAATTGAGGAAGAATTCTTGAGCAAGACGAGAGCCATCTGGTACCACATCCAATCGCAATGGATGGAAGTGCGAAAATTGCCCGGCCTAGAAGGTATGCTGAAGGTTGTCCAATACAACAACTTCATCAACGCAATAGCTAGTAACTCAGTCGAAAACGGTATGCTGGCCCACGACGATGTCATCATGCTGCGCGATCGCTACAAGCGAGTGGCAAATCAGGCTCTGTCCAAGCTTTCGTCAAAGAGCGACCGCAACCTTGTGCGCAATTTGAGGCGATCTATGAACCGATTTCACGACGAATCGCAGATGGTGAAACTCATTACGGATCACCCTATGAGAGACGATGAGGAGGACGTCGACTACAGGCCTGTCAAACGTCGTAGATCTTGATGTTCGACGATCATTTCGCTTTATACGTTTGAAGTTGGGTTGTAGTGACATGCAGACGGACGAAGGAACCGCAATGGTGAAGGTGTATATGCATGAGTCATGATGATCCCGGGGACTCCTTGCCTTGGTATCGTTTTTGCACGATTTACATCGTTGTGAATAGACTGGTCTTGCCATCGCATGTTCACTTTGATAGGCCAAAAATAGAGTGGCCATGATCTGGACTCCTTTCGTTACCACTCGGGATGAGACCACTCGGGATGGCACCACTCGGTATGGCACCACTCGTAATAGAACCGTACGAAGATCATAACTTCTGTACAGTAACTTGAGCGGCAGTACAGTACAGTACTGTAGATCTGAGATGTAGAAGGGCCGGGAAAAGCGAGGCGGATACAGCGCACGGGCATCTGCTGGTACCAGTATGACATCACTTAGCTAGCCAAGGCTCACTTGCGGCTCTGGGCTAAATTTAGCCGGTCCATAGCAGAACGCCGGTTCCGCACCGCACAGAAATCAACTTTTGGACGACTCAAGACAACAGCATCAGAACACACCTGCCAGCGGCCGCAGCGGTCTCTGCAGGCTGTCACGCTCCCCTCCATCGATTTGGTACCTGCATAGCCACCGTTACGGCCACGGCAGGGTCGGACGAACAAACTGCCCGCACGCCATCCATTTAGTCGTGATGTAGCAATAGGAGATGCGACGACGGAGCCCAAACACTCTGTGGTACAATAGTTACAACACAAAGAACAGCCACCGGAGCGCTTTCTGGCCAGTCCATCGCCGACCAATAATGCTTGCGACGTCCCACATCGACGAGCCTTCGAGCCGAACGACACCACCTCCCCCGCGAATCGAGCCTCAGACATACCCGGCTTGCTACGACCGGGGCCACAACATACAGCAGTAAATCAGAAAGCCTTGCCCACTGGTCCGCGCCTCAAGCATGGGGCTACGGGTTTACCCACGATTGGCCAGCTCGGCGGCAAGGCTGTACAGAAATAGGGGATACAAGTGATCACTTTGAAACCTAAATATAGCTCTTATGCCGGTGAATTAGAGGTCAATCACGTTGCTCAGAGTGTTCATCGAAGACATTCAATAGTGGGAGTTGCGTACCGGGACGTAGATTCCTAAGCGCTTCTACCGTACGTGCTCCCAAATCCTGTCTTCTAACCCCCGTCTAAGCAAGCCTCCCGTGCGTGCGCCCAGATCCAGGAAGGTGCATAGCCCTTCTCCAGCTCCCACCCGCCTAAGTGTTCCTCCCGTGCGTGCTCCCAAACTCTGTCTTCTAATCCCCGCCTAAGCAGGCATCCCGTGCGTGCGCCCAGTTCCAGGAAGGTGCATAGCCCTCCCCCAGCTTCTACCGCGTAAGCGCCTCTACCGTACGTGACCCCAAATCCAGTCCTCCGACCTCCGTTCAAGCAGGCCTCCCGTGCGTGCTCCCAGATTTAGTCTTAAGAAGTTTTTGTGCCTCAGCTTGATCCCCATATTCACTTCATCATGATCGACAAAAGATTTTCTTTTCGAGGGACCGTCAGAGTCCCTTCCGATTGCCTCTGTACCACAGGATTGAGCTCTGCTCAGAATGAAGGGCTGAACGAAGATAGTACAACTTGGTCCAAACACGGTGTCGCCGCTGAAGGTCTCAAACAAAACGGCGATAGAAACATCATCTGTGTCCTTGTATGCGATGAGCAATTGCAGGCGGCGTTGAGCGAAGCGAATCTCAAGCCGGATGCACTCTTGAAACACTCAAGTAACGGACACTTCCTGGAACTTAAATATTTCGAGAAAGAATCCCTGCGCGTTCTGCAGGGTCGCGATTTAGTACTTGCTGGGCGACATCTACTTCCAGTGGAGAAAAGATGGTGGAACGTTCGGTTGTATGCTGAAGGTATTAAGTCAAGTTTTGGCATATTCCATACCCAGATCATTTCTTACTCCAGGGCTGATTTCCACGAAATAGAGCATTATCCGAGCCCCAAAGACATACCTTCCGGCGAAGCTTTTAGAATGCTTCGTATGTGTCAATTACATCGCCGACCAGATGAAGAGCAATGGTGGTGGAGAGGTATCAGTAACAGTATAACGAAAGACGTGAAGCAACTGCTCAATAAAGAAGTCATAATGAAGGAGGTAGACCGCTCCTTACTTGTTCCAGGTTTCTGGTTCCCCATCAAGTTGGGCGTTTTCAGGAGACTCAATGGGGTCAAATGCGACGAAGTAAGTCCAGCTCTTCAGCCAGCGAGACATCTGCTAATTCAGGAAGGAACTTGCTCACTACTTCAAACACATAAACGAGACATGGGATCCGGTTCTTCGTTGCCTCGGCAAAGATGTCTGGGTTATAGACGATGCCACCATCGAGTTTCTTGAGCTCAGAGCGCCGAAGGCATCTACTGTGGATCGGAATGAGATAACAGCGGGCATGGAAAGCGGATTGTTATTCCCTTACATTGGACACCAACGGACGAGGTCTCAGCTGTTGACGTGTTTGTTAAGCATACCATCGCTGATACCTACCGTGCAGACATTCTTCAACAACCTCACCTACGTAGAACCTTGTGCAATGGTCTTGAAAGGCATTTTGGATCCACGCCCGAAATGTTCAGTCAAGAACTCCTTTGCTGCCGCTTTCAAATGCCCCTTGGAGCTCTACGTGGAAGAGGCTGATGGAAAGTTCAGCCTGCATAGACCGCTGGAAGCTAGTGAAGCCTTCAACTGCTCCTATCTGCAACTCTGGCTATTCGCAATGAGAAACTTCCCTGAGATGACAAGGATCACTGTAAAGAAGGAAGTTACGGAGCCTCGACGATATGCCAATGAACCGAATGCATGGCTCTGGCACGATTTTGCGGCGCTTGCCGCCAGACTTGGCTTCAGTACTAGTAGAATCAGCGAGATTCTATCAACCAACCCAAGCATGATACACGCAAGGAGAATGCTGCTTGATGCTCGTCCGTCAGATCAATATTGCTTTGATGATGGCGAGTTGGAGCGCTATACAGGTCAAATATCGGAGATGATAAAGTCGGCGAAAAAGTTACCGGTGCCTTCTTCCGAGAGTCAGATTCTTCGATCTCAGTCGTGCACGGAGGCTCGCAACCGTAGATGTGGTCAACCACATGAGTTTTCACACGCTGCAGACAAGGCTCTCTTGTTCCTGCCAACCATGCAGAGCTCTCTGGGAGATATCGGACCTGTGAACTCCTTTTTCGTTAAGAAAGACTTCGTTATATCATTCTTCGGCAGGGATTGGAACAGCACGTGGTGTCCACTTCTTCATAAAGATGAGAGCGTACCTCCTGTTGACTCGGCGGATGCTTTAGAACCTAAGACAGTGCATAAAGAGAAGGCCGGTCAGAAAATATGTTTGCAACACAAGGTACTGCAACACCTCCACGATCAAGCGCAGGTCGCTAATTGTCCCCACATAGTGTCTATATGAAGGCAGAGATCCAAGGAAACTGAGATGGAAATATATTAGGGAGAAGAGATCGTTGACAAAATTGCGCAGCTCTTTCATCCGGAAGACGAGAAAGGGTGCGAGGAAGAGAAAGATCCGCTCGACTTAAACATATGCGGAAAACCTGTGCAAACAACATCAATGATCTAAAAATACATCACTCTCACCGAGCGCCCATGGTTTTTTCATAGCCAAATTCAACCTTTCCTCTCTGGTTCTCTCCATCCACTTACCCACACTAGCAATAGCTTGGCGGGGTGATTGCTTGTTCGCCAACAAAAGCGACATGATCTCATCAGGACTGAACTCGAGCTTTGGTACCTTCACCACAAACTCTTGCGCCAGCTGGAGTAATTCGCAGTCTACGACACTCTTTTATCCAGCCTGGCAAATGTCATGTTCTGAAACGGTGTTGCTGATGACGGATTATGACTGGGGATCGTAGACGAATGAGCGCCTTCAGCTGTGACTGTTGCCTGGGGTCCAGTCCATGTCATCCCCATCATCTCTCTCCATGTCAGCGCTGATCCTAAAATATTCTTCCCGCAGTCCTCTTGATGCCTTCCCGAGCTTGCTCATTGCTAACGTGAAGTGCTCCATTTGCTTGACGTGTTCTTTGTTCTCAAGTTGCGGAAGAGATACAGTGTAAGCAAGGGTCCATGATTTTTGCAATTTGCGCACATCAGAGGCGCAGGCCCTCCCCAATGAGAACTTATCTGCAGCGCTGCTAATCTTCTTGTCAAAGCTGGCCATGAAAGGGCCTGTGTAGTCTTTAGTGTCTTCGCGTAAGGAGATCCATTCATTTTGCAGGACTAGCCACAAATTGTCAATATTTTCTAGCCTGCTGTCGACGGGGCCCTTCCATTGAACAAGGCCTGGGCGCGAGGGTAATGAGCGTGTGCGTCTTGACCTGCGTCTATGACTACTGTTGGGCCGTCGATAATTAGATATCGGCTGTTCGTGCTTTTCTGTAGGAGCCCGATCGTCGTCCAGAATGGCGAGCTCCATCAGATCTCGATGATCATCCGGATCTTGCTGGGCTGTCTCCCCATGGTCGTTGTCTGGTAGGTCCTCGACTATGATTGCAGTTTTTTGGCTATCACCGGGGCGATCAGTTCCTGAAGATCCTGGCGAATGGCTGCGTACTTTTTCCGAGTCAGGCATTGTTGCCTTAGATGAGCCAGGATCAGTTGCACTTAGCACGCTCTTGGTAAACGATGTGCTCTTAGGGAGCCTTGGAGACGTCTCTTGTATACCCGTTGAGTTGTCTGCGGACGCTTCGTCAGAAGGCTTAGGGATCTTGGCTGCGGCGGTAATTCTTTCAAGTTCTTCGTAGTCGATAGTCCTTGAGCTTGTTCCGCTTCTATTGACATGAGGTTGCCTAGGTGAAGTCGAACGGGAAACGGTGTTCGAGTGGTCTTGGACGGTCTGGGGAGCTCGAGCAATCCGTCTCGAGCCAGCCTTATGTTTCGGCGTGGAGTTTTCGCTTTCTCTCGATGGCTCGTCATAAATCCGGCTTTTGTCTTCCACGGTAGAGTCCATAGAGTCGTCAATCTCCACAGGAAGTGGTGTGGGCTTGACAGCTGCATCATGAGTAGATATGGGTAGCACTGGTGTGGCTTCCATAGGTTCGAGCTCGATGTTTAGCGATGTGGTTGGCACAATAGGGACAGTCTCTTTAGGCTCCACAAGAGACGTCGTAGAAGGAGGAGGCTGTGGAACTTCCTGGAAGCTGACCGAGGTCTCTGAAATCGCTAGCAATGGTGCTGGCTTGTACTGAGGTAATGTCTCAATAGAGTAGATCCTCGACATAGCTAGCGAGGAACGTGACTGAGCTTGAGGGGAGGCTGGAGAGAGGATCAACTCCTTCTGGTTTGCTGGCCAAGCATCATCCGCAGAACCCGGGCGTCGGGCCGCCATGTCGGGTTCTACTTTGGCCGACATGCCTGTCCTCGACAGTGGCGTAGACAGTTCGTGTAACGGGTTTCCAAGAATCCCAGGCCGAGCGTTATCTGACGAAAGATCCTCTAGGAGTTCATCCAATGAGTAGTTCGCAGCCTTATTGGATATTAGTAGTGACAGGGTAAGATCATCAGTTCGCGTACCTCTGTGTAGCCCGAGCCGCCGCTCTCTTCGACTTTCCAAATATCGTCAGCGATACTACGAAGCTCTTCTGGAGTCAATCCTTGCAGGAAATCGAACCCGTCCATGGTAAGCGTAGGTTCTCGGGGTAATGATGAGTTGCAGGCTGGACGAACAGTCACCTTTTATACTATGGCATCGTGCGGAAAGTTGTTGAAAAGCCCACGGAGAGTATCTAAAACTAGCGCCACCGGTTGTTGCATGAATATTGAAAGTATCGTCAGGGTTCGCAGGCCGCAGCAGCGGCGATCTTGCGACGATGTCATCCAGTGAGAGTACTCCTCGCATGAACATCTTACCGCTAGGATAATCGCGAGTCGTTGTCCCGGGTCTCGACTCCATGTAGCAACCTTATGCGGGCGAATCTGTTGGCTCTCATAGTCCCAAGCAGAGTGACCGCAAGGCAGACATGAAGCGGTGCATGAATCCTTTGCCGCTCTGGGGTCAGGTTGTTACTAGTATGTTTGAAGTTCCTGTTCTCCCAAGTCTTGGGCGTCACGATATCAAGACCTATTGGCTCTTGCGGTACGGAGCATAGTGTTAGCAAGGCAAAGAAGCTGCGCTGCATGAAAGCCTTGCCACTCTGGCACTCGATTGTTGGTAGTATGTTCAGAAATAAGTGTTTCTCCACACTCTGAGCTTCATGCCACCTAGACCTATTGGCTCTCGTTGCACTAAGCATATTGTTGGTAAGGCAGAATTCTGTTATTGCATGAAAGTCCTACCGCTTGTCTCGGAACGACAGTGTACGGGCGGTATATTGGGTAGTGTGACGGTTGGTGTAGGATGAGATGGGGGGCGGTTTTAAGTACCTCGTCCAATATCTTCGAAGCAAAGTTCATATCGGAGCTCTATATAAAGGGGTGATACTTTCCTTGACAAGTGCAGCAAAGATGAGCCTCCCCCAACGTTCACACACTCCCGCGCAAGATGACCTAGAGTAAGTAGTAGTGGCGAGCCGTATGATTGAGAGACTGACATGCAAGCAGCGTCTACTTCGAAGTCGATATGAGTTCCGATAACAAGTCGACTGCCCTCGCTCGGATCAGCTACCAAGGACGTCCCACTCAGCACCTCGACAGAGGTCTTCCCAGCCAGCAACATCTCCGTCCGATGTCTCAAAAGGACCTCACGTCGATTCCAGCCGTCGACAAGCTGCTTCAGGGGAAGCCGACCATACCGAATGAGGCAGTGAAGTACGCCCAAGACGGCAGTGGAAGATCTGAGCCATTACCCGAAATGACGTCGCAGTCAGTTCCCTGGACGCATAAGCCCGAAGACCTCACGATTCGAAATGCGGTAGCTTCCTGCAAAGGTATCAACAACATCGGATGCCGTATAAGTTACGGTCGCCAGATCCTGTCCGCCCGTGAAATATTGGGTTTTGCAAGCCAGTATAAGCGGCCTGTGCCAGAGTTCATATCGTCTTTGCAAGTGGTGGGCGAAACTACAAGATCTCGAGAGTCCAAGGATTTTGCGGCCATATTACTTCAAGCGCATCTGCACAAAGAGCGTTTGAAGGTACGTTGGGAAGATAGGCTCATGAATTTCGAGGAGGTCATAGCCGAAGGTCAGACCTCTCTCGTATTGGCCTTTCTGTGGCGAAAGAGGCACTTCATTGCACAAGCTCTTTTACGATGGTTGTACAGAGAATTGGTCATGCCTGTGTTTTACAAGCTTCTAATGGGTTGCTATCTGGCTGTTGTTTCGGGCACATGTTTTCTGATTTTTTTGGGCACATGTACTAATATCTTAGCCTACTTAGGTAACATTTGATCAGCCTCGAGTCTCTTGACGACATTAGTAAAATTAGCCTAGGCGCTTCGTACCGACGACTACTATCGTGCGAGGCGTATGTGTCCGGTTTACAGTATACAGAGGTCCGTTCATTGCTTGTTGAGCTGTGCACCGCCTACCCAAGTGAACAGGTTCCAGGATCAGGATTCGGGTATCCGCATTTGACCTGGGATACGCTTACACATCGTGGCTGTGCTAACGCGCTTATAACGCCTGTGATAGCTAGCTAGATCGCTAATTCCTCGCGCTTGAGCATGTTGAGCCTGGCTCTTTAACTCGGCTTCATCGGCGCCGCAGCCTGTCTAGCGCAACCCACTATTCCACCTGCAGTCGCTGCTTGTTACAATTTACCTATCGACTTTGCCGTAAACCTCCAGTTCTTGATCTATCGTCCGTGTTTCTGCATTCGAGATCACAATGCGCTTGTTACTTATTTACGTAAAGATGAGCCATGTCTGGTAAGGTTCAAAGACTGTGCCCAAGGTGGTACCTTAGTCTTACCCTACATATGGGCTAATTCCTTGCAGCTTGTACGTTCAGCGGAGGCGGAAGCCGCAAATCTAGATCCATAGCAGTACAGTCAATGGTTCTGGGAGACAACTGAAGGATACCGTTACTCGTATGCTGAATGCTGGAGAGATGATATCTCGGTGTGTCAGATGGTTCTTGGTAGTCAGGAAGGAATGTAGCTAGACTAGTAATGCAATTGCACTGAAACTGTGACATCAGCAGGTTCCATTCTGTTAGCTGCATAGCAGTATACGGTAAACCTATCAACATGACAGTCCTTCTTGCCTGTCGTCGAGTCCTCGAAAAGGCCGCGTTAGCCCCCGAAAAGCTTCGTAGGACGCTCTTTTCGCGTAGTGTGAAGCACTACGACAGCCTATCGAGCGTTGATTTATGGGACTATCGAGGTAGATTAACCAGCTTGATAAACACTCTAAGACTAAAAGTTGGATAGATATAGGTGTTTAGGTACGCGTAACAATCTCTAGTATGTAGCAACATTATACGTCCACCTGCTTCTCGCCTGTGACACAACTCCTCAACCCTGATATCGCACAACGCCGCTCATGACTGCTACGTTAATCACCCTCTCGCGAGCCTGCAGAGAGTCAGCAGGTGTGGATTAGTACTCCCAGTCTCAATGGTGGCATGCCCCATAGAGAGAAAACCCAAGGGTGACTTGGAAGGTGACCATCGCGGGAGGGGGTCGTTCATGCGCAGCAAGAGCTGTAGTATCCGTTGGTTAAGATGGACGATGAGGGGGCACAGCTCTTTGATACATCTCTGATGGGTAGATGATCACGAGGAGGTAGGATGGTCGTTTCGGGTGTCACACATCTACGCGCCTATCTACAAGCAGCATTTGAGCGCGCCACTGGAACAGTACGATTGTCGTACTGACATAAGATGGCACTGCCAGCGGACCGGTACGGGTGATGTAGCGGTACGCTGATCGGACTGGTCCTAGACGGCAGGTACCATGGACTGGTACGGGCATCGTACTGATACAAGATAGCACTACCAGCGGACCGGTACGGGGGACGTAATGGTACGCTGATCGGACTGGTCCTAGACGGCACTACCGGCGGACTGGTACAATGACCGGACTGGTCCCAGGCGGCGGATCCCCTGGACTGGTCCGCTGACTGGACTGGTCCGCTGACTGGACTGGTCCGCTGACTGGACTGGTCCGCTGACTGGACTGGTCCGCTGACCGGACTGGTCCTAGACGGCAGGTATCATGGACTGGTGCAAGTGTACGCGCTGAGACGGAAGGTACTGGATTGACACTGACTAAGAACAGCAGCCAATAAGCGTATCGCTGCTGCAGTATTGGGCCACCGCTACATCTAAAATTAAGATCTCCCAACACGCTATAAAGTTTTGCAATGTCGCAGAAGACAATTCTTACAAGGATCCTTGCTGACCCGCAGAGTTGGTATCAAGCAAGCTGCTTGCAAGCGCTTGCTTGTTTGCTTGAAAGCTTGATTGACCTTTCAAGTCAAGCAGCTCTATATAAATTTGCAAGCAAGTCAAGCAGATAGAGTACTGCTTGCTTGATTGCTTGAAAGTGCTTGCTTATATTTACTTTTTGAGGATTTTGGTGTTCTAGTAGATGGTGATATCGCGATACCGATCGTGGTGTTGCACTTTTTTCAGCTGAGTAAGCTAGCTTACAAACCTCAGCCTCCCATCAACGCGCTCGTACTAGCCACCTCATATCAGCCATTTTAACGTCGCCGTCGCTAATATCACGTGTCTCTTTTAGTGTTGTCCTTTTTGAGCTATCGTACAACTCTCTATGGCAGGCAGAAAACGCGTCTCCAACGGCTCTATCGCCGCCAAAGCTCCACCCAAAAAGCGCGCCCGAGTCGTCCCATCAGGCTCCGCCAGCCAGCCGATATCTATTGGTGATATTCAGCAGCCATCTCCATCTCTATCTACTCCACCTACGCCGTCTCCGCCGCCGCCGCCGCAGGCCTCCTACGTTTCTACTTTCGAGTCACAACTCCGCAATTCCCGCCCCGAAGCTGAGATCGTAGCGCCTTTTGAGGGCAGCGAGGAGGCAACTGTTGTCTCATCAAATACAGCAGATGAGGCCTTAACTTACATGGATGAGGCGCTCGATGGAGACTTTAAGGACAACTACGAGGGCATAGATTAGGATCGCTTGCCTCGTTTTATTAAGCCGCCTACAACCTCGCGCCGCACGCTAAGCTAGATACATAGACATGGCTATCGAGTTGTACTTTGATCTAACATGACTACAACGTACTTTATCTGCAAGTTCTGCCACATCCACAAGTATATTAACGCTAGGCTTGCTGGTGTTTATCTATCAGCTGCAACTACAGCAGCAGCGCGTCACCTCGGCGAGAATCGACCTAGCCATAGCTATACTCTACCTAGAAAGTTACGTGTAGCTTGTAATAGTCCCCTCTGCCGCATGCTTATAACTGGCGTATTAGTCCTACAAGTAGTTGCTAACAAGCTTAGCAACTTTAATATACAGCGCTTTAGGCTAGCTGCAGTTGCGTGGCTTGTCAATAACAACTAGTTAATATCTGAGTTCGAAAAGTTAGCTTTTCGGGAGGTGATAGCTGCTGCTAATCTATAGGCAGAGGCAGCGCTTTAGCAGTCTTACAGGAGTGTAAGCGTATACGTTATGCGCCTATACAACCACCTACTGCCGCGTATAGTCTTAGCGCTATTAGAAGCTGCTGGCAAAATACACGTAAGCTTTAACGGCTAGACGACGAAGGGCGGCAAAAAGGGCTACCTCGGGATTGTAGCTCACTTTGTTAATCGCCTTAGCAAGCTTATTAACCTGCCTATTGCCCTGCCTTAGCTTATAGGCCCTTACTTAGGCGAGAACATAGTAGAGATCGTATACAGTACGCTGCAAAAGTTTAGAGTAACAGCTCGTACGATAGGCTACTTCGTGCTCAATAACGCCTACAATAACGACACGACGATTACCGCACTCGCCTCTAAGTTCGGCTTTAACGCTGCTCACCGCTAACTCCGCTGCGGTCCTTACACGCTTAATCTTATTAGGCAGACTCTACTTTAGGGCGTAGATGGCGACGCGTACGATAACAACGTAGGTGAGGCAGTTAAGCTAGATAAAGAGCACCAGCTTATGAAGGAGTGGCAGAGCGACGGCCCGTTAGGTATACTTTTGGCTGTGATTAACTACATTAAAACACCGCAGCAGTATAAGCTTTTTGAGAGCTTCCAGCGCCTTGCCCACAAGGTGCTAAAAACGCCTACTTGGATAAAATTAGACGGCCTCACGGCTTACGATTAGCAAGTAATTACTAAGTATATTAATATACTTAGGCCACTCAAAACAGCTACAAAGCGCCTTAAGGGACATAGCCAAGGTAGCTTTGGCCTAGTCGCTGAGATTATACCCGTCTTCGAAGTACTACTCCACAAGCTCGAGCAACAGCTCGAGAAATTCGACTCCGTTAACCACGAGGAGCACGCCGAAGCTCCAGAAGATCATCTCGCTATTAACCTCCGCGCTGCTCTCATTAAAGCCCGCGAGTATTACAGCAAGCTAGACGAGACTCTAGCTTACTACGCTGCAACAATACTCTATCCACGCTACAAGCTTTTTTGCGATACAGTATGGGCAGAAAAACCTAAGTGGCTTTCGCTTAACAACTGAAATTCTAACGCTCTGTGGGCTGAGTATAGAACGCTGCCTAAGCCTCGAGTACGGCCCCAAACGCTCTCCAACGACCTTGACGACGCGATCGATAGCCTCTGCAATCCCACGAGATCTATCAACGACGACGACGAGTATACTAGATGGAGGCGTTGTGAGCCAGTGGCAGAGAAGGACTCCCCCAACGCGCTAGACCCGATACAGTATTAGATAGGGCTTCGCGAGCAGTATCCCAATCTCAGCAGGCTTGCCCTTAACGTACTATCTATCCTGGCTTTGAGTTGTGAGTGTGAGCGTATTTTTAGTGAGCTGGGTGATCTACTAGAGCCTTGCCGACGAGGTATATCACCTAAGCTTTTGGCGGCGATACAGTGCGTAAGAAGATGGAGGAGAGCTGGTTTTGGGGACGACGATATGGCTGCAAAGTCAACTATAACTGACAGAGAGATAGAGCTATTATACAAGACTAGCACATAGGACAACGGCGGCGACGGCGGTGACGGCAGCGAGAGCTTGATACTTAACACTATGTAATTTCCTATTTGGGTATATATTAATCAAGCACCTTCAAGCAAGCAAGCAGCAGCTCTAATTTCAGCCAATCAAGCGCAAGCAAGTCAAGCAGACGACTCCAAATAAGCAAGCAAGTCAAGCAGTAGGCCTACTGCTTGCTTGGCTTGCTTGATACCAGCTCTGCTGACCCGAATGAAGGGCTTACCGAAATGGGAACAAGACAAGCGCCCAGACTACTTGGGATGCTGACAGCCACAAGCTCGCTAAAGGTCCGCAACACTTAGTGTGGCAATATATTCATGGCGACACACTTAACTCGTCTTTCCTGGCTTGGAAGCCGCATACGCCCAGATCGAAAAGTCGTCATGAGGTCGAGCCACACAGCAAAGACCACATGGGTCGATCTTGATTCCAACATCCCAAGTGGCGCATGTCATTCCGAGTGGAGAATTCCAAGTGGTGCATCAGTCTCACTAGCCGTTGTGAAACGTCTGCTGTCAATGTAAGCAGCTCTCTGGATCACCTATCAGGACTAATTACAACTCTTCTCTTCTTACAGTAGCATGATTATGTCCACAAACGTCTGGCCGCATCAGAAGCAATCCCGCCTATTAACATGCACCGGTCGTTTCTCGTGCAGCCATGCATACAGTACTAATTCTTTGACATACCTGGCCGACCGGCGCAGCCTTAGCTAGGGAGCCTCACGGGTTGCCTTCCTACAGGCACTTGCTGAACTATCGCTAAAAGCTCTTCCTTGGTGTCAATTAGGTTTACGATGAGCACTAGAAGACTTCCATAGATATCTGTAAGGCCAGGCATTGCCTTGGAGCGTCAAGAATGGCGAAAGGAAGATGAATTTGACAATATAACCTAATGCTCAGGCGATACAGGATTTGCCATCATCTGGATACGTCAACCAGTGTCAGTATGATGTCTTGTGTAGAAGTGCTACATTTACGCAGAGTAAGGCTGATCCTTTGATTTCGCACGTGAGCAATCGGCAAGAGTAAGTGCCGAAGTTGTGCACGGATCACAAAGGCACTGTCAGCTCTTACAGCCTGTGCGCTAACGACGCCTCCGCGTGTATGTCTAAGTACGCCGCGGTAAGCTTAGAAAAGCACTCTTTGTTGGGTCAGACATTATTAGATTTGTGGGCAAAACACGCCACTAAGCGTGAAGCGTGTGAACGCAAAGCCAACTGTCGCAGGCCAAGCGCTGTCGGGAACCTCATTACTAATAACGCCGTGCGATGACCTTTTATATAGGTAAAGCTTTTTCGGACAACCCCAAAAGTTCAGATGAGACAAAAGATCAGACGACTAAAATGAGCCGTGAAAAACATATACAGTAATCGACACCCATCAATAGTTGCCTAATTGGGTCATTTGTTGTAGAAATAAGGTTTTGGGTAGGGGTCTCGGCAGCTCCCGTAGGGGTCTTAACAGTGTCAATTTCTGGGTTTTGGCAATTAATATACTATTCCCCAATCTTGAGTAGAAAATGTCGTATTTTAGTGACATTTGCCACCTAACCCACCCAAATCCTCCACCACCTCCGCGGCCACACCACACGTCTACGTTACGGCGCAATTACACTAAAAGCTAGGAGCTGATTTTAATAGCATTTATTGTGATGTTATAAAATTTTAAAAAAGATTGATTAAGGGGTGGTAGAGTTGTGCATGATCTTGGAGTAACTAGCATGCGGAAAGAAACTTAAAATAGAGCCCCCAACACCAACCCAGCCAATACAAAGCAAACCTAGGGTAAATCGCAGTTAGGGATGCTTCTAGCAGCCTTTACTAACGTCTATAAACGCCGTAGAACGAAACCGCATAAAAAACAATGAACTTTTAGAGACTTTTGGATGAGATGAACCCTTAGGTTAACCTGACAATAAATTGTACGAAGGCGTACGCAACCTAGGGCTTACAGTACCTGTAGCAATCGCTATTTGTACGCGTTATGACGCGACAGGACGCGTTCTAATTACAACGGAGGCCTCTCATTGGTCTAAATAGCTCCGGTATACCTATATAATTGTGAGCTGCTCAAACAAGCAAGCACGACTAAGCGTTAGTCTTCTTAACCACTATTTCAACGTCTTTTAGAGGGGTGAATAGGAGGTTTCTTGGGTTGTGGAGCTTTGCGCTTCTTCCTAGGTTGTTTAGGGGATGAATCCTGGTCAATGTCGATGCTGTTAATGACAACAAAGTCGTCATGAACCTGTTGAGGCTTCTTTACAGCCTGGAGACGCTTGGAAAGCTCCGCCTGGCTTGCTAGAACCTTTTCAAGTACACCAAGGATACGATCATCAGCTGTTAGCTTCTTGGTAACCTTCCTGACGACCCTCTTGGCTGTACGGGTAACTGAAACCTCCTGGACGACTACCTCATCGTCAGAACTGCTTTCTTCGGCAGAGGATATCTCAACTGGGTCCTGCAGGTTCTCCAGGACCTTCTGGGTTGGCTGACGACGTCGGTTGCCTCGGCGAGGCTCTATATCGTCGTCAGAAGCTTCCTTAGCTTGCTGGGTTTGCTGGGTAGCTTGTACGTGTTCGTTCCTCGTCTTTTCTCGGGGTTGACGTTGAGCTTGGCGTCCGCGGAGGCTTTGAGAGGCTTGTGTCGAAGGCAAGGTGACTGTTGTGGAACCCTGTGGGCGTCCTTTAGGCCTTATCTTTTCAGGATTAAGTATATATCGTTCGTCTTGCACCTCCTCACCGCGTGCGCGCGGCGGGTGATACCACCAGTGTTGGTGAACGTCTTTTAGATCAATAACAAGTCCCCTGGGCTCGTTAAGTTGACGGTGAAGTGTATGCTTACAAGGCAGCCCAAACTTCATAGAGAAAGCGCCTAAACACTCCTTAAGCTTATCATAATGCTCATCCTTAGCTAGCAGTAACTGCTCCTTCAGCTTACGGAGGCCTTGGTGGCTTACCTTTCGATGAAGGCGTGCAAACTCGGGCAGGAGGCAGTCAGTTGCACGCCTGGCTTCATCTAGTTGTAGGTGTCCGTCATGCTTATTTCGCTGTACAAGCACCAATTGATGGATGTCCAAAACGACGTCGTAGATGTGGCCAGCTTTCCAGGAAGTGAGGGCAAGCTTCAGCTGGCGATGAGCTCCTTCAACGCGAGAGGTGGCTTTCTGGCCAAAGTCGGGAAAGAACTTACATATACACTCTGCCCATTCGTGGTAATGGGGCAACTGGTGAGCTTTTAGATACTGCAGAAGCGCTGGAAAGCCAGCATAGCTCTCCCAAATCTGCTCCTTCAAAGCCTAAAAGGCATCTTCGGTAGGGCAGGATACTAAGCTCTGCCAAACCTGGATGAAATCAAGCCTGGCTTTCTCGATAACGTCCTTCTCCTCCGCTGCAGCAACCCTCCGGACGTCCCAAGCTTTTACAGCTTCAGTTTGGACGTTTTGATATATATGCCAAATGCAGCGACGCTGCGGGATGCCTGGAAAGATGGCTGACAACCCAGCTTTAAGAGACCTATCGTGATCGGTCAAGAAACACTTTGGGGAGACGCTGAGGTAGTCGAAGAGCTCCTTCAGGTATTGTACGACCTCCAGGTAGGTCTCCGCGGCTTTATTTGGGATGAAGGCGTACGCAATGTTATACGTTGTTGCCCGGCAAGTAATACCCAAAATATGAACCAGCGGCATGTTGAAGGCGTTCGTTTTGTACGTAGCATCAATCTCAACAACGTCTGGGTTACACTTGATAAGCTCAAAGGCGCGTGGGTGAGCAAAGAAAATGATACGGGCACGACCTTGATCATTCTGGGTTATCCTATGCCAGAACTTGGTATCCTCGTTACCGCTGTCATCACAAGAGTATGTTGAGAGGAACTCAGCCAGCGCTTGAATACGTGTACGGCCACCAAGCTCCTCGCGGCGGAGCTTCGCCAACTCATTTGATACATCTGAGCGTGTTATATTGGCTCCCGCCGAACGTTCCTTTCTCAGTATCTTCATGGCTGAGTCGCGATTGCTCTTCGCGCCCTTGATGCGCTCTAGTAAAGCTTCATCGCGCTTCCGGAACTGCGGCAAAGCAAGTACACCAGCAGCAGGATGGTTGTGGCGCCCATCTTCTGTAATGAATTGCCATCCAGAAGCTCCAGAAGCTCCTTCGGCTTCTACCCACCTCATGCGTCCTTTCCACTCACAGGCAGTCATTCTAGAGCTCTGTTTCCGCTTGTTGCTACCAGTCGAGCTATACGTTCTACCTTGTGCACACCGCAATACAGCTCCGCGAACTGCCCTCACCGGGTTTGCCCTTGAAGGTTTCGTGTAGAGCGGGGTCCTGATGCTGATGGCGAATCCTGTGTTCATCAAAAGGCGATTTGCTTCCTAAACAGCTTCAGTATGGGTTGGGAGGTTGATGAGGGCGGGAAGAGCAGCTGCGGGTGGTACCCAACGAAGGTCTTCGCGGTCAGGATCCCATGTTGTCGCGTAGGCATTAATCTCACTGTCGGAAGGCTCGTTTTCGGTCATTTTCGAGGTTTTGAATGGGTGGAGGGATCAACGCATTTGTTGTTGTTCGTGGGGTAATCGCGATCCGAGAGCCGACCCCACCTGAGCGGGTGGAGAGAAACCACAATATTGCGATGAATTGTTTTCACACCACCACAAATTGGATCTAGGAGATTTTTAGTGTTTTGGAATCGCGAGGTCCTGTTTCGTAATTACCGAACGATAAAAGTGCTGCGACGGGTCGATGTTGGGGTTGCACCTGGGGCTCAAAACTTGGAGGTATTGATAGATTTTGGTGTTCGGCTGTTGGACCCTGATCTTGGCACTTCCACGGTGGTGCGCACGGACGCCGCAGCGTCCCCCATCAAAAAGCAACATCGTCAAAAGGAGACCTTGGAAAGCACCCAAACGACGAAAGATTTCAATATTAACAGTAGTTATCAACCCACAGAATACTATAGTAGCGCCTCGCGTAACTCTCGCGTAAACTTTAGCTTCTAGCAGACACTGCAACCTCCGAGAACCATCAGAAAGAAATTGACTAATCGGGTAATAAATATACAGGTGTCGATTACTGTATATGTTTTTCACGGCTCATTTTAGTCGTCTGATCTTTTGTCTCATCTGAACTTTTGGGGTTGTCCGAATAGTAGATGGGGTTGTCCGAAAAAGCTTTACCTTTATATAAGCTGAGCTAGGATGCTAAATCAATAGAACATACACTCTCTCCTAATTATTCTGTCTATAATACCCGCACTTAACCGTGCGACACCAACAATGCGAAAGTGAGGTACGATTCAAGACTGGCAGAGTACAAGGAAAATGCCGCAATGCGAGGCTTACCAAAATTATCTCAAGGATGAATCGCACCGCTCGCCTGTGATCAAGTCTTACCCTACTGCCGTCAGTCTTCTGAAAGCGAGTTGCAGAAGTACATACCTTGGACCACGGACAACAAAAGGAGCTAGACATCAGAAGTGACCAGCTTGTAGGACTAGAACCCGCGCTGTGAATGGATAGTCCCAGAATGAACTAAGAAAGCAAGAAGGGCCTAGAAGAGGTGTGGAGCTCAAATGTTGGATGAAGCCCGAATGTCGGAGCCCAGATTGGAGGCCTGTTTGCTCTTGCAAGCCAGTTCAAAAACGCCAAAGTGTTTATACTCCAGCGCAAGCCTGATGTAAAACCTTCGTCATTTTTATGAGATCCTCGTCAATGTCTGGATACAAGGTACAACCAACTACAGGCGAACAATGGGGATACATTGAGAAGCTCGCTTCCCACAGCTATTTACGTTTGTCTGAAGCGCCTGTGGCAGGCATATGCGTCACTCCAATACTGGAGAGGAGAGAACTTAAGAATGAAATTGATAAGGGGCTATCTTCTACCGGTCGGAAATACGCCATTAAGAAAAAACATCATCGAGCGAAGAAATAACTAAGCTAACGCCAGGCATCCTCTTGATACTCGTCCATCAGCTTTGTGTACTCAACTCCAGCTTTCGCCCACCCTTTAATGCCCCCGAGTAGCACGAAGCTCCGAATGCTCGGGTTCCCATGCTCTTTGATATAGTCATCCATCCAAGCGGCAGCACGAAGCCCTCGATGCCGCGAGGAGCCTAAGCAGTGTCAGTTGCTGTACTTCTATGGCATTTATTGCTACAACGCACCGCAGTACCATATGATGCATCTGACATCTGCGCTTACCAGCAGTGTGTAGAGTGTAGGAAGAGTGGGATATAAGCTCTGTGCGGGCAAGTTAATCGAACCACGAATAGTCCCGCCCTATTTGAGACCGAGTCAGCTTTACACATCTGCATCTCTCAGTTTCTTCCTACTTACTGTGTGATCAACCTGGCGAAGATCAACGAGAATGAAGTCTTTTCCGGGCTTCTGCCCTTGTTGTAACATCGTGAGAACTTCATCCCGGGATATCGTGGACGGCGTCCGGTTCTTCGCAATAGGGTAATTGACATCCCAAGGGGAATCGGGATCTACTGATAGTGATGGGCAGCTCATGGCAGTGTTGTGGGTACACTGGTACATGAAGAGTGGGTCGCGCTTGGCTAGGGAGAAGATTGGAGAGTGAAGCCAAGGGGAACGGAGCCGTGAAGAACCAAGCAACGAAGAACGGAGCCACGACATGGATTGAAGCGATGGATGAAGAGGTCAGGTGTAGGTATTAGCTTTGTTGTTCTAGCGATGCATTTCTGTACTGTAAAATTTATGTGTTTTAGGGAAGGCTTGAATGTCACCCGCTGCGATTGATTGGTTGAGCACAAACGCAAGCATTGACCGCATGCACCTACGTATCACTGCCTGAATTCATGACACGCGCTTTACTTTAAGAGTAACCTTAAAGGCGCTAAGCAGATTCGCTCCATGAGGCTGTCTTTGTTGGGTCGATGCGTAGATTTCCCGCCAACCTTTATTAGTGTTTAGCGGTAAGATTTGTGTCACAGTAAACTAACTTTTAAACGTAACTCTTAGTCCTAAAAACATCTCATATTCTACAAGTACCCAAACTACGGACTGCTACTTTTGGATCACTATGCTATTATGTATAATCGCCTTACCGTGATCGCATGTGGTAGGTAGGCAGTTCCTATGCACGTTGGTAAATTGCTCAAATGCATCACAATGAAACTTACATCTTGCTGTGCAAGTAAGCCTTCCGGGCCAATGCAGGATCTCGATCTCTCATCGTGGACTGAGTCGTTCCTAACCTGGGAAGATCTCAGGTAGACAACCTGGAGAGGAACCTCAAAATCGGCTTTCCGAGTACGTATCCCAGCAACTCGTACACGCAGGACCAAAGAGTACGATCTCGAGATAAGGCTTCTACAGAATGTTGGGAGCATCGCTTGGTCAGGCTGAATGGGAATACGGACAGACGCTTTCCATTCATCCACGCTGTCGTCTCTACGGCTCGCACTCGTAGGGGTCCTCTCTGGTGCAACGTCAGTCACAGCGTCTTCATACCCTGGTGGCTCTTCTGTCTCAATGTAGGGGCTGTATCTCCAATCTAGTTGCGTAAAATCCATGTGCTCGAGTTTGATGATCTCATCGTGGAGCCGAATCGATTGGTTCCGAGTAAGGGACGTCTGTTTCGGAAGGCACGGCATCGGCTCTGAGGCGTAGAACGTCTTGGCTCGGATTGCAGGTTTCACATTCAAGGATATGGCTCGCAAACGTTGCACGGCCAAGGGGGCGTGGACGGTGATAGAGAGCGTCAAGTCGGTACAAGGGCGGTTTTCATAGGGCGAGTAGGCTAATGGCAGTGGTTCTCTGGTGCTCATGGTGAGCTCTCCAAGGCGGCCTCCCAGAGCATACTTCCATATCGGTGAGTTCGTCTTCAAGACAAACTCCCCAGGAAAGCTAGCAACATGTGTTGGTGGCTCGACCTCTGTATACGGAAGAAAGTCGATGGTCTGGCTCTTCTCAACCTTTTTCACAGTCTGTGGCATCTCTGAGGATGTATCTTGCTCGTTTCTATATCGCACAACGCCGTGGAGTTTGTAGGTGACAGAGATCGGATCCGAATACAGTCCCTTTGATCTGAAGGTCGGAGGAAGGATCCTACACTGCAGGGGCTTCGAGGCGCCTAGGCCTTCGGTGCCGAGAGGGATAACGAAGAAGAAGGGAAAGCTGTACGAAATCGATCCATCTTCACGTAAAGCCCTTTGGGCAGAGTCGAGCTTCACCTCGTAACTGACGTCGAGGAACTGCATCTGTTAACGCATGTCTTCCCAGTCGACCAATGTGTTCACCAGAACGTTGGACTTTGTCACGACTGGGTAATCGTAGCTTGGTGAGTAAGCTACTAGCTCGTTGGTGTTGGGAGCCCAAGCGGAGCGGATGAGGGTGGACTGCAATCCTAAAACGCATTTGCCAGTCAGATGCAACGATCTAGGAATGCTAGATGTAGTCTGACTTACCTTGGAAGAAGATCTCGATGTCCGTAAAACATAGTGCTGATGGCGATGAGACGCGAATCTGCCCTTCAAGCGAGTCTCCAGGTCGCAGGCAGCCACAATCGTTGCCATGCGGGCTGCATTTATCGCATGCTAAGACTTCAACATCCACTAAGACATCATTAGAATTAGCCATAGCTGGAAAGGAAAACCGTTTGGTTGTGTGGTGTGCGAGATCTGGAATCCTTTGAGCACTCTGTGCATGTCACCGCGACGTTGTGATAGGTTGCCCTGTCGCGAGCTTGGCCCTTGGTCACGTTCGCTACGCACCTCCTTTGTCAGCTTGCATTATATGTCGCCCAATAAGCATGCCTTAGTCCATAATGGCCAATCGGCGCAGTGCAACATCCGATCCTAGAGCTTCATAGATGTTGAGGGTAAGATAAGCTTGCGAAGAGTACAGTACCACTTCCGTAGGCTCGCGGCAGACTATGTACAATGATTGCAATCAATATAAGACCAAAATGTTCCTACTGCGAGCATCACATAGGCTATAAAACATGCATGCATAAGGGATTTGCAGCCTCAAAACAACTTAGGATTCAGCATGTACCGTTATGATCTATCTTGAGCTATGTAACTGAACAACTTGCACCAGCCGTGCACTACTAAACACTCTTCCAGACCCATCTGCTACCCATCCACCTTACTAGATAGACCAACCCGATCAATACAGGTACCTCAATGAGAGGTCCGACCGTAGCAGCAAGCGCCTGGTCGCTGTCAGGACCATAAGTGGCGACAGCGACAGCGATTGCGAGCTCGAAGTTGTTGCTTGCAGCTGTGAAGCTTTGGGTTGCCCCCAACTTGTATCCATATCCGAGCTTGTTGCATACGAACAGCGTGAAGAAGAAGATGACAATGAAGTACACAATAAGTGGTGCGGCGACTCGAACGACGGAGACGATTTGGTGGACCACTTGGCGACCTTGAGAGGCGAAGAGAACGAGGATGGTGTAGAGAAGGCCAACGAGTGACCACGGAGCCAGCCACTTCAGGAACACCTTTTCGTACCACTCCGCGCCAACTAGCTTCCGCAGTATGAGGCGCGTCAAGATTGCAGCGCCTAAGGGGATGCCGAGGAAGACGGCAACGCTTGTCGCAACCTGCTCATAGGAGACAACGACGGTGCCAGTTTCGCGGCTAATGACCTTTATGAAAAGGATGGCGAGCGGAGCGTAGAGTATCATCTGGAGAATGGAGTTGACTGCCACTAAAATGGCACAGTATTCATCGTCGCCACCTGCAAGTCCGTTCCAGATTAGAACCTAGTGAATATAAGCACTGTGTCAGAAAGGAAGTAGGGATGTATGAGCGTACCATGGCGATGCACCTCGCCAGGCCCACCAAAACCAGTCCTGTTCGCAAGTCGCTCCTGTCGGGTAAGAACGCCCATGCAAGACCGAGCTATAGTGTGTTAGTCGAAGCTGGGTTGAACAGAAGATGAGACGCACCATAAGGAGTGGGGCGACAATCCAGTTCATGAGTATACTGAAGCCAATCTGAATCCAGAGAGCGCGAGTTCGAAAGAGACGGTGCAATGTCTCGTAGCGGACTTTACAAAGAATCGGGTACATCATGACGAGCAAGCCGATAGCTATCGGGATGGACACGCCAACGAACTTGCCCTTCTGGAGCGCTGGCCCTGTTTCTTCGACAAAATTTCCCAGAAGGACGCCGATAATCATAGCAAGAAGGATCCACACCGCAAGAAAGCGGTCCAGCCATCCTAGTCCTTTGATCACCGACCCCTTCTTCACGGCTGTTTGTTCCTCGAGCTGCAGCTTCTCGAGGTCGGCGTCGTTGCGAGGAGAGGCGGGTTCGGTATCGATAGGTTGGGGCCCTTCCGTTGACGACAACGTCATATTGAATGCTTTTAAAGGTTGCCGCGGGAGGTGTGTTGTTGTTGTAGGTAGCAGAGATGCTTTTGGCTGGCCTTCACAGGTATCTGAAATTGACAGAGACGCTATGCAGGCCTAACAGTAGCTCCCTCTTATATTCGAGGTCGTAAATGACAACGGCACACAGTGGCAGAGATGCTGCAAAGCTAGCTTTGGCCTCGGCCAATCATCACCTAGCAGTGACTCACCGGCATAAACTTGTGCGGATACATGGGGGCGGTTGCTCATGCATAACATTATAATAGTCCCAGAAGATCTTCGCACGATTATTCTTGGATTCGCTCACAAATCCTACAGACACTGTCAAACAATGACTACCGCAAGCGTCACAGGTTCGCCCCCGCCATGGCACGCTGCGTACCCAGCGCCCAGAAATACCCCGGCCACTATTCGTCGCGAAGACGTCCTCGACATGATCAAGCAGAGCGCAGAGACTTCTAGCAGAGACTACATTCTCGTCGATTTGCGTCGCAACGACCATGAGGTACCCAAGATTGATCGTCATCTTACGCTTCTGCGGAAAGAGCTAAGTAAAGCAGGGCGGCACCATCCGCGATTCGATCAACCTTCCTGCGCAGAGCTTGTACCCTACCATACCGACTCTGTACACGCTCTTCAAGAATGCAGGCCTCTGTAAGATAATCTGGTATTGCTGTATGTTCCCTTCTACTTACTATGTAACGAACCGGCACCAAGAAGCGCCTTCCCCAACATGTCCATGAGATTGACTAACTTTGGCGCATTCTAGCTTCCTCAAAAGGACGTGGCAACCGTGCCGCTGGTTGGTTCGCCGACTACATTGCAGATCAAGGGGATGAACAGATGAAGAGTCTGGCCCTAGCTGAGGGCGTGAAAGGATGGGCAACGGCAGGCGATGAGTACGTCCAGTGGATGATCGAGTATGATGCTAAGGTCTGGTTGCAATCTTGAGGTCTGGTTGCAACCTCGACTTCTTTTGGAAGCTATGCTACGTAGGAGGGACAGTTTAATGGGGATCATCTGTGAAAGGTAGATGCAATGCGCAACGTGGGACTATGTGACGATGAGATTGGTGGTCGCTGAATTGACGATCTATACCTGTTTGGCTATCGTACCGGGTGTTCGCACAGCCGATAAGATGCACGGTCTGTGTTCGAGAGCGGGCTCCGGCGGTGGCGACATACTGTTCGCTTGCGGTGACGGCCGGGGAGGCGCGTGCCGGCACTCAGAGCAAGCAGCCACTAGTGACGCAGGGTTCAAAAATCGATTTCAACGAATAGCATACGACGAGTGACATACTCTCTGCTTGGCAGTGACCCGCAATGAGTGTTGAACAACATTTCTGGTTATGTACAGTACCGTACAACTACAGTTTTCTGCCTATACACCGTTCTTAGAGACAGACCTCACTCTGTTTCCCAGCAGCTGCGCGGCAAATTCATGTTCATTTTCCGTTCGCTCCGACCAACGGGTATTTGCAGTAACGCCAAATTCAGTCAATCATTCCTGCGAACGATGAGTACAGCAACGAACGGAGACCTGAACAATACAGCAGCAGAGCGTGTTCGGGCTGAGATCGCGACAGACTCGGCATACCACCGCACCTCGCTTGCGATACCTGCCTACGAAGACGAGGCTCACATCCGAACAACGTATCGACCCTTCCTGCTGGATGATGCACACTCAGACCGAGATTGGGTCGCTCGGCTCGAGCTTAGCACAACCTTGAAGATGGTCGATCTTCAAGTTATCAGGACTGGAGGTGACAGACCGAAGGTTCTTGTCTTATATGGCAGCATGCGACAACGGTACACATCATGCAGCTATATTGTGGTTCTCTCTGCATATTAAATGAAACTGATCATGCGCAGGTCCTACTCACGCCTATTAGCATTTGAGGCTAGTCGAATACTCTTCCGGCTCGGCTGCGACGTTCGCATGTACAACCCTACTGGACTGCCTGTAAAGGACGACGTTCAGCACTCGCACCCCAAAGTGCAAGAGTTACGAGACCTCAGCAAGTGGAGCGATGGCCATGTCTGGATAAGCCCTGAACAGCATGGAAATCTTGTTAGTACTTCGCACTATGCGACAATCCGTCTTGTTGGCTTTGCGTTTCACTAACAAACTTGTGCTACGTAGACCGCAGTGTTCAAGAACCAGATCGACTGGATACCGCTCTCAACAGGTTCTGTTCGGCCAACTCAAGGTCGTACATTAGCAATCGCGCAAGTCTCCGGCGGATCTCAATCTTTCAACACGGTTAACTCTCTGCGCATCCTCGGACGGTGGATGCGCATGTTCACCATCCCAAACCAGAGCTCGGTCCCTATGGCCTATACGCAATTCACGGATGAAAATGCGGACGAAGGAGGGAGCAGGCTGATGCCAAGCGGGAACAGGGACAGGCTAGTTGATTGCATGGAAGAGTTTGTGAAATACACTTTGGTTATGCGGCCACACTTTGATCTTTTCGGGGACCGATATAGCGAGAGAGAGGAGAAGAGGATCAAGGAAGAGAAAGCGAGATTGTTGGACACGCGGAATGGTATCTCTTTAACCGAGATGTGATCAGCAATATCATCGGCAAAGTGTAGGGTAAACACCATAGTGTGCCTGCCGTCCACGCTGATTAGGGGGCCGCAAGCTGTTCTGTACAGTGCGATGCATATTCTAGAAAGTCGGTTCAAATATGTACATATACTCGAGCATAGAATGCAGATTCATTAGCGGGTAGCTGTGTACGAAGCAATGATTTGGAGCGCTCGCTAAGCCGCGGATTAGCGCACCCTTGCTGCAGAAGTGACATGTTGTAGGGAGCTGGTGACACGTTGTAAACACAACCCATATTTTACCAACCCTAGAACACCCTGAGCGCTTGCAAAAACTTCACACTGTCTCTCCTCTGATTTGGCTTGTACAAGTCAAATGGCCACTCAACCCATCGACCCGCCATTTACAAGCATGAACGAGTTCGATGACATGAGCGAACATGACAGCACAAGAGAAGAGGCTCCTCCAGACGGTGGTTATGGCTGGATCTGCGTAGCCGCCTGCTTCACAATCAACTGCTTCACTTGGGGCACTGTCTCGGTAATCCTACGCTTTCTTCAATGATCTTTTCGATACCTTCGTGTCGCATCCTATACCCTGGTTACGGCGATAGTTCTTCTCTCACAATCAGCAGTCTCACTAACTCGTTGGTTTAGGCATATGGCATCTATCTTTCACATTACTTGGCTGAAGACATCTTCCCGGATGCATCCACTTGGGACTATGCGTTCATTGGCGGCTTCAACTTTGCTATAGCCATGCTTATAGCACCTATTGTTACTGTTCTCACTCGGAGATTTGGGATACACCTGACAATGGTTGCTGGCTTGATCTTTCAAAGCGGCGGCTTTATTGCAGCCTCTTTCGCCACACGAGCATGGCAGTTGCACATCTGTCAGGGCGTTCTCATCGGCTGTGGCATCGGCTTCTTATACATTCCCAGCCTTCCTATCCTTTCGCAATGGTTCGTTCAAAGGCGCAGCCTAGCCAATGGAATTAGCGCTGCAGGTTCAGGCGTTGGCGGCGCTGCCTTCGCGTGGGGCACAGAGGCTATCATTCAGCGTTTTACCATCGGCTGGGCTCTACGCATCACTGGGATTATCGCATTCGCCGCCAATCTCGCCGCAATAATAGCAATACGGGATCGAAACGATGTGATCCGGCCTTCTCAGCTTGGGTTTGACGCCCAACTCCTCCGGCGATACGAGGTAATACTGCTGCTTGCCTGGGCCTTCACCAGCATGCTAGGATATGTTGTCCTTCTTTTCTCCTTGTCCGACTTCGCTCTATCTATAGGCCTTACTAGAGCCCAGGCTACGGACGTGATCGGTTTGTTGAACGTGGGTACTGCAGTCGGACGACCAATTATTGGCATACTCAGCGACGGATGGAGCCGAATCGATACAGCAGGTGTTCTGACCTTGCTGTGTGGTCTTTCATGCTTTATGTTCTGGCTGCCGGCTACATCTTTTGCGCTTACAGTATTTTTTTCAATCATCTGTGGGGCTATCGTTGGAGTCTTTTGGATGGTACGTTAGGAGTACCGACTCTTCTCCAATTTGCCGGTACATGCGCTAATACCATCATACACAGACTATAGGTCCGCTCTGCGTTGAGGTTGCTGGGATGAAGAACTTGCAATCGTTATTATCTCTATCTTGGGCGGCAGTGATAGTCCCCACTACTGGTATGTCTTGGTTGGGTTACCACCTTCTTTGTGATCTTCCAGCTAATAGCACTGGCCAGTTTCTGAAGGCATTGCATTGAAACTCCGACGGTCCTCCTCCTCTAAGGAATACCTCTACACTCAGATTTTTGCCGGCATTTCATATGTAGTCGCGAGCGGATTTATGTTCCAACTCCGCAGAGTGAAGGGTCGCCAGTCACAGAATCGTTTGGCCTAGTGCCATCGGAAAACATTTTGAGCTACGACACTAGTTGTTACCCGGTGTTGCAGTACGAAGCTCTTGACATGGTCTATGAACGATTTAATCGGTCTTGTTGTTATGTTTAGACTACGTTCAGTTCTTGTGAGTATGTTCGTTTGATTGTTTATGCCTAGTCGGTTTCAGCCGCGAGGCTATGCCCGGATGCAAAGGGTCGGCGCACAACCGACGCGCTGCTGAGTCTGTCTACACCGCCCCACTTCATTATACCAATGGTATGATCGGCCATCCCCTGCCCCTGCGTTGTCTGGCTTTCATCTACGAGTATATACATTTCGTCTCTAGAAGTGACGTGTTTGCCTGTGTTTGTGTTCCTCGAATTGCGTCCCTGTGTGTATGCCGTACTCGAAGCCTCGTCTGTGTAACGTTGTTGCAAGGTTCGCAGAGGCACGGTTGCCTTGTGCTTTGCAACCGCAATTCCCTCAGTCTCCCCCAAGCGTTCAGCTGTTGTGTGTGCTATCTTGCCCTCGTGCCCCTAGGGCCCATAACACGTTCCCCAACCTTCAATATTCTTTAGTGTTGTGATGCCGTCCACTAGGTTCCTATGCGGCTGTGTTGTGTGGTGTGACCTGCTATCGGGCGCAGCGGCAGCAGCTCTACGTCGTAACGCGGCTCCAGAAGAGCGATGCTCCGCTCGTGCGTGTGGTCGAGCCTACTGAGCAGGACAGCTCTCTCTTCAGACCTTTTCCGGTGTGTCAACGGGCATCACTCGTTCGAAAAAGGGTAGGGCGACAATGAAGGAGGCTGTCTGATGATCTGTAGGTATTGCGTGGCACTTGATGCTCGTCGATACGGGACGTTGCGAACATTGTCGGTTGGTGATGGCGTCTGGGCTCCGTCGTCTCATGTCTCATCGCTGTGCCGCGGCGAGATGGCTGCTGCTGCGTTTGATGGACGCGTCATGCTAAGTGGCTTGTTCGTAGATTCTGTCTGCACGTTCCTGCCAGGGCCGCAACTGAGGCTCTACAGGTACCAAACCGACACGTAGGGACGCGTCGTGACCTGGAGAGACCGTTGCGGCTACTGACAGATGTACTCTGCTGCTGTGGTTACAAGCTTTCCAAATAAACGAGTTCTCGCTGTAATGCGGGCGGTGCTTTCAGTGGACCTTTCTCGGCGTGGTTGAGTGGACGAACGGCAGAAAGGCAAGATCTTGGATTTCATTGGTCAACGGGCCGGAGCTGAGTTGGCCGATCTTGGCACTCCGGCTACTGACGACATGGTTACGGCTTAGGATCCAATCTCGTTTGTACCAACACCAACATATGTTAAACACTGGACGAACGTCCGATATTATTTTGGGCGAATTTTGGCGAATTTTTAGTGTCTGATCTTGTTCGCCGACGAAGGAAGTGCACGAATCCCTAGTAGCACGCCTTCCAAGCAGCCACTTCGGTACTGCCAAAACTGGAAATGAGGATCAACAACAAGAGCTCTCCTGCGAAAGGCAAGGTGCGGTCGATTCCGGCATCCCATATTCTTACGTGAGTGCTGAACTTGAAGAACAGGCTACAGACCTGGAGCGCATCCGCAACAACCAGCGTCGCTGTCGCGCGCGACAAAAAGAATACATCGCAACCCTCGAAGACAAGATCCGTCAATACGAAGGCATGAACATTGAATCTACAACTAAACAGAAGCTCGACGATCTTGCTACAGAAAACAGGTCATTGAAGCGGCTCCTGCAATTTCTGGGATTGCGTGATGAGTTTCTCGACGCATACAGTAATGCTGTTCGAATTGCTCCGGACATCTCGTGGCCGCTGCTGGGAGATGACCGCTTTGCTGTATCCAAAGACTGTCCAGCTCCCAATCCTTCACTGGACACACTGGAGGTATGTAGATCCAACATCATTTGTACTTTGCATCAAATCTGATCTTGACCAGCCGCACTTGCCCCTTATTGCAATCCACGAAGAGCAGTCTCAACATACAGCTGGCCAATTTGCAGATGTTCCAAACTCGAAACGAGCATCCCTCGACTTGTCGCAAATCAATGTACCTCTACCATGGGAGCTTTCCGACTTTCCTGCTAGCTCCGCCTCTTCCCACATGGAGCAATTTGGTCAGTTGACTCTGGATGCTTTGATGACAGAAGCATTTAGCAACGCAGTCACTGTAGAAGATGTATCAGACACGACGACGCTCTGTTCATGGGCTTTTTCGCTTGTTCTGAAGAGCAATCTGAAAGGCTACAGCGTTGCAGATTTGGATCTCAAGCTTCGCGCTGGATACAGACATGGTTTCACACCAACTGAGGGTTGCCGGATCGACAACAAAGTCTTACTGAATGTTCTTGCGGAACTCATGTAGACCTCGGCGCTTACCAGCTCGTACGTGACTTGGGACGATCCACGATTTCAGTCACGACGATCGATGCTCAAACTATTTGTGAAGCTGTGCGCTATACTTTTACGCTGCGTATAATACAAATTCAATTATCTGAAATCCTAAGGGGAAGTTTTAGGGTGACTTGGAAGTGAATTTAATCGAAGGTTGCATTACAATTTGGTTGATACGTGACTTGCACTGCGTACCTAACGTCCCATGCCCGTAAGCGAGAAATGCCCCTATTACGTATAGTGGGTGAGAGTTCATAAAGGACTGAGTTGATTTAATAGCTATGAAAGAGAGAGACTATATATGTGTATGATAAGAGAGTAGAGATAATCCTGGTGATACCCCCTTATCGAGATAAACCAACTCGACAGGCACCTCACCCTTTCCTATACACTTCTAGAGATATAAAACTGCTGTGCATCTGCATTTCAGACACTTTTGCCTCTTCTACTACATTGTAGCTAAGAAAATATAATAGTTGTAGTCGACCTGTAACGCTAAGCGGAGGTCTATTTAACACGGAGATAAGCTTAGAGTACATGTTCTCTAAGCTTAAGCATACACTGGTAAATGGGTCGGGGTTGGGTCTGGGTTGGGTTAGGTATACCCAACGTTTACGTCTCTAATAACTCAACGAATATTATAGCTAAAAGAAAATTTAATGGCCTATTTTAAAGCTCTCTTCTTTAGCTATAACCCTAGTTAGAAATATCTTGGAAAGGGTTAGTATTAGCAAAGTTATTTTTAAAAAAGACCTAAAATAGTATACTTTCTAAGATAGCTTACGTACGAAGCCGTTTAAAAGGATTTGTAAGAGTACAATTTATAGAAACAACTTAGAGCTTTAAAATAAACTATTAATTTTCCTTCTAACTATAATATTCGTTGAGTTATTGGAGAAATAAACGTTGGGTATACCTAACCCAACCCAGACCCAACCCCGACCCATTTCCCAGCGTAACAATGGTTCGTACGATGGGTAAATGTTTTATGTGAGATCTTTACAGAGTTATCTCTTGCGTAACCCAGATAAGAGTGCTCTTGCTAGCGCATCACCGTCACCCTCAACAATCTTCTCAACTACGACATCCCTCGAGGCTAATATGTGTCCTCTAACACGATTGCCCCATTATCTAAGTAGTTACAGCATGGACCTAGCGCCCTGTGATTGAAACACCGATCTCCAGAAGATAGATCAAACTTTTGCTGCTTCGAGTCCTGCGAGTCTGACAAGACTGGTCCTGTGTGAATCAAGAGGTGCAGCCAACGGAAAGCCAGGAAAGCCCGACCTTGTTTTCGTGGAAATGCTGTCCCAGCATCCAGCTTGGAAAGACTTGGCGGTTACATATCGATTTCGCGACAGGGTCCGCGCAGCGTGCAAAAACGGAAGCCGATTGTGCACAGCACTGTCTACCCGCCTTTGTGCGTCAACGGGCTGTTCATGTCGCGCCCGAGCTGCAGATGTAGGGTCTCGGCTGTGATGTGGCTTGCGGCAGCTTTGTTCCGCATCTCCAAGAAATTTCTGGCTGGAGTGTTGCCATTCTAAGCGGTGAGTTGCTAAGCCACGAGGACAATCGTCAATACTCACACTGGGAATAGCGTATGTGGTGGTTTCGAAGCTTGCCGCAACCGTCTGACGCGAGCGAATGGTGTGGGCGGCCGAGCACTGCGATAGAGGGCTAAAGTTACCCCTCACCGCGTTCCAGGGCTCCAAGCAACTCACCGACTTGCGGACCACGACTCTTCCGAAGACCAATGTGTTCCGGGCATTTTTACGGGTCGGGCAAACCCGCAGCCCAGTCTCAGGTCGGAATTCTAATCGGAAGGCGCGAATCATGGCAGTCGTCACCACATATCGTCCCGCTTACCCACAGCTGCGAAGCTCAACTTTCCTATACACTCTAACCTCTCCCCGTTTCTAAATTTCTCCTGCAATTCTTCACAGCTGGTGTGACTCAACTCTCCCCCACCGCAATGAATTGTCCTTCGCGCGTCGACCCCATCCACACGGAGGGCTGGAACCAGAACCCAGATGCCTTGAACGCCGACGCGACGACGAGGGCTGACCTTGACCACATGGCAAATGCCAGACTGCAAAGAGACCACAAATTAGATCCCGCCGACGGGTTCGCGGCCGAGATAGAAACGAGCGAACGCCACATTACCAAGCGAGACAGCAAGATCAAGATGAAGGCGCTCGATGGCCAGGGCAACATCACGGTTGGTGAAGGCAAAGGCCCTGGCGCTGTCACTGGCTCTCCATCTGGGAGTCCAGTTGAAAATACTGGCAGAGCGACCAACGACTGGCGCATGGCTCTTCGTGGGCTCTCCGTGAGAGCTTCAAAGATATTGCGCAAGTACGCAACATTCATTGGACCTGGCTTTATGGTCGCCGTTGCATATATCGATCCCGGTAGGCATTTTTCCGACGCCTGTTTTTTCAATTGCGCTTCCCGATATGTCACCATTTCAATTAGAGCGGATCGCTTCTACCCGGATTACGTGCCCCGTTCTCCTTCCCAGGAAGCAAAGCTATGACTTCCTGACCGAACGCTGACTCCTTGTTTCAGGTAACTATGCAACCGATGTTGCAGCCGGTGCTACGTTCAGGTTCAAACTTCTGTTCATTGTTTTGATGTCCAACATCTTCGCCATCTTCCTCCAATCCCTGTGTATCAAACTGGGCTCCGTTACGGGAATGAACCTTGCTGAGAATTGCAAGGCTAATCTCCCGCCGTGGCTCAACTATGTTCTCTATGTCTTTGCAGAATCGGCTATCATTGCAACCGATATTGCAGAGGTGTGTTCTTGCCCCTTAGTGAAGCATGTTCTTAACTCACTCGAATAGGTCATTGGTACTGCAATCGCGCTTAATATCCTCCTTAATGTCCCCCTCGTCGCTGGCTGCGCCATATCTATTGTCGATGTGCTTATCATCCTAATTTTCTACCGTCCTTCCGGCACAATGCGTGCTTTGAGAGCATTCGAGTTCTTCATCATGGCTTTGGTCCTCGGCGTCGTCATTTGTTTTTGCTTCGAACTCAGCAAGATCAAGGCCCCAGTTGGAGACGTCTTCCGCGGTTATCTACCCTCTTCTACTCTTGTCAAGCCACAAGCGTAAGTAACCCTCGATATCTGCATCTAACAGACTAACAACTGGAAGTCTGTATCAGTCTTGCGGCATTCTCGGCGCTACTGTCATGCCCCACAGTCTCTACTTGGGCAGCGGTATCGTCCAGCCCCGCCTCCGCGAGTTTGACGAATCCAATAACACGGCGGTTGTCGAGATCGACTCCATCAACGACCAAATCAAATACAAGCCCTCTTTGGCTGCCATTCAATCATGCATGTCGTATAGCATTGTCGAATTGGCAGTTTCCCTATTCACCTTTGCCCTTTTCGTCAACAGCTCCATCCTGATTGTTGCCGGGGCATCTCTCCATGGCCTCCCGGAGGCCGATGACGCGGACCTCTTCTCGATTCACACCTTACTCTCTCGATCCATCGCCCCTGTTGCTGGTACACTGTTTGCATTGGCTTTGCTCCTGTCCGGTACATCAGCGGGCATTGTCTGCACCATCTCTGGCCAAATGGTTTCTGAAGGCCAGCTCAACTGGACAATAAAGCCTTGGCTCCGCCGTCTCATCACTCGTCTCATTAGCATCACACCCAGCATCATCATCGCTGGCGCCGTTGGCCGTGAGGGGCTTGGCAAGGCTCTTGAAGGAACCCAGGTCGCGCTTAGCGTTATTCTGCCTTTTGTCAGCGCTCCGTTGATCTGGTTCACTAGCCGTTCACAATACATGAATGTGTCTGTCCTAAGCGATGGCGATGGTACGACAAATGCTGAGGGTGATGGGGATCAACATGTCCAAATGAGAAATCACTGGATCACTGTGGTTTTGGCTCTATTGATTTGGGGCATTATTGTGGTTATGAATGTGGCCCTTTTGGTTCTTTCTGGTATGGGTCTTGCGTAATTGCAACGCATTTTTAAGCATGATGGTGGAGTGTATAGCGAAGATGGATATTTGGATAAGGTCTGCTACGTACTGGAAACTGTAAGTCCACTGTGGCTAAGGTAAGGCACTCTTTTGTTAACTGGTTTGACTGGTTCTGAAGTATGAAGACGACTTGTCCAGAAAGTCGGCCGCGTCTGTTCGGTTCATCGGCCCAAGCTCTATAACATCGCGGCGCGTCAGCGACACTGCTACCTCTAGCGTGCGCGTCGTGTATTTAGTTACAAACTACTTAAAGCGCGTCTTTACTAAGGCATTTTAGGCTTTAAAAGAGCGTACAGCAGCGGTTTAAGATAGCAACAAGGAATAGGTAACGCTTCTAGCTTACGTATGCGCTTCTAGAGATGTACTACCACTCGCTCGTATCTACTTGTCAGATATGAGGTAGATTTTGGGTGGAAGGCAACGGAGTTGGAGATCATCACGTTACTTAGACCCCCTAGTCCTAAGAGGGACTAGGACAGGGCGACCTTCCGTCTCATCCCTCACGAGACTGCACCACACACACACAGACAATACACACACGTTTAACGATGATAATAATTAGAACTCTATTATCTGACAATTAAGAGTCTCAGTGCCTTTACTATTAAAGCACTACTACTACTACGAATACCTACGAACCTAAGCAAAATACCGCTGTCGCAAAAACAACGCGACGACAACAGCCAAAATGACGACGCTACACAACCGCGATCCAACAGTTATCCTCAATGATCATACTTAGTGGATCAAATGGATTGCGCAACTCGAGAACAAATGCGTGCCTTTACGCGTCTGGCATCTGTTCGACACGAAGCAGCTATCCCAGCCACTTGTCGAGCCACGCGCGATTACGCGTCCAGAGATTGACGGCTATCAGCCCTCAACCGCCGCGACCAACGCGTACACTACCCAATACCAACTGGATTACCCACTTGCTACAACAATACCACCTTTTGTCCCCGCTCGCGTATCCGACCTCTCTAACACAGGAAAGGCGTTATACAAAGAGGACGTAGAGGACTTTAAGGGAAGATTTGAAGCGTACAAGATGGAAGACACCAAGTTCTAACGAGAAAGCAATCACCTCGCTCAGGCGACTGATTTTATTAGGACTACTGTGTCTGCACACCTGTTTAACAACTGCTGCAAGCCCTCCCAGCCATACCGAGACTGGATCACTAAGCTTGCCGCGACTGTAGGCGTGCGAGCAGAGGACGAGCTTGATAAAGCACGAACGAGATACCACGAAGCAATGAAGCCAATGAGGGTAGTCACCCAATGGGACACCTGGCTTACTGAAGTCGATCACGCCGTTACTGAAGGTAGAGCCACTGGAGTACCAGAGTGCCTGAATGACCAGTTCATCAAGAAGGACTTCGTATCATCAGTATCGAAGCACTTCTCTACCTGGACGACTTCATTTATCGTACATGGGCTCCGCGACGCCACAGTTACTGCCACGGAGATGTTCCTTCAGTTTAGGCAGAACGCCGACCTCATGCACCCAACGAAGAGCCGATCGAACAAGGCAGCCTTCGCCGCAGGAGGACCAACACTGGATAACGAAGAACCAGACAATGAGAAGAAGAGAGGAAGGGGACGCAACGCACAGAAGCGCCGGCAACCCTACGGTGGAGGTTTATCCTTATCGCAGAGGTGCAAGGCGTGCGACGGCCTCCATACCCTCAGCAAATGCTGGTACGCCTTCCCGGACACCGCTCCAGAGGACTGGCAACCACGCGACTACATCACCAAGATGGTGAAGGACAGGATCAGCAACACGCCAGACCTGCAAGACGACGTGCGATTCACAAAGCGACCACGATCGAAGACACCTGCGATAAAGAAGTCGCAATCAGCAACGCCCACTGTCGAGCCTACGTACGAAGAGTGACTGTATGGCAGAGAGATTGGAGCGATTAACTTGGTAATTATTGCCTCGACCTTTATGACTAAGAAATCTAGGTATCCACTCGAACGATCCTTCATACTCGACTCGGGCACCACGTGCCACGTAGCTAACGATATCGAACGATTCGCGAACACCCGAGAACCATCGCAAGGAGATTTCCTGTGGGCAGGCAATACGCGTGTATAGATCAAGGCGTATAGTACCGTTGTTATAAGAGTGCAAGGAGATCGTGCCACACGATTGCTGCACCTGTACGACGTAGCCTACTGCCCAGACCTGCACTGCAACCTTGTCTCATTTAGGATACTCCGCCAGCAAGGTCTGTGGTGGGATACCAAATCAGACCCAACGGTACTGCGCAGACGCAACGACGCCGCAGTTGCCACACTCCAAGAACGATACGGACAATAGGTTATTGAGTACAACGACGTAGAGCAACCACAGGGCAGCTTCGCATCTACTGCGCGCACCCAACACCCACGGCAAAGAGCTAAGGCTGTGATCTGGCACAAACGAATGGGACACCCAGGACCTCATGCACTTAAGCACCTCGTGCATCACTCTGAAGGGGTGAAGATCGTTGGCCTACCTACCGTCGATTGCGACGCGTGTGGAAGATCGAAGTCAAAGAGACTGATAAGAAGAGCACCCAGAGAGATCCATGAAGGGCCTGGAGAGCGAGTAGCTATTGACTTTCATGACTACGAAGATGGAAGCAATACGAAGGAGAAGACGCAAATGCTGATTATGTGTAGAGCAACTGGTTTTCTTTGGGACTTCTACCTAAAGAACCACACTGCCCGCTCGATTATCCAAGCCCTCTAAACGTTTGTCACGTTCCTGAAGACGCAATTCAGCATCACGGTCGCAGTTATTGAGACTGACAACGAGACGTTCCGATCGGCAGAAGCACAGCGATGGAAGGACGATCAGGGCATTGCCGTTGAGCCTTCTGCACCAGATACCCAAGCCTAAAATGGCGGAGCAGAACGCTCAGGGGGTGTTATAAAGGAGAAATCGCGAGCAATGCGCCTTGACGCCAACCTACCGTGGGAGCTCTGGCCAGAAGTCGTGCGATCCGCCGTGTACCTCTACAACCGAACGCCACGATACTCGAATCGCTGGAGATCGCCATACGAAGAGTTCTTCACCAGAGTCGCCTACCAACTTGGAGTCGTTGCGTCACCTCGTAAGCCAAATCAGACCCATCTACGCACTTACGGCTGCAAGGCCTTTGCGATGACGGATGACACGAAGCGGCATAAGGGACGGTTGCAAAGACTTGACCCGAAGGCCTGGATTGGATACCTCGTTGGATATCGATTATCCAACATTTTTAGAGTGTGGGTACCGTCCATGGGGAAGGTTATCAGTACCTGCGACGTTGTTTTCGATGAGTATACAATCTTCGATGGAAGTAAGAAGCAAGTCATGGATAATCTTATGCACAGCACTCTCGAAGAGATTCAATCGTGGATCCGTACGGTAGAGTTACCCCCTTCTTAAGAGCAGAACAGTGAGACAAACACGTTCTATGAGGATGAGGCAGTGAGCGACTCCCAAGGACCACTAGAACAACCCCAATACGATGAGGCAGGAAGGAAGAGAATACCCTATCCTACGCCACCGAGCACCCCACCTGCAGCGTTCATCGCGCAGTGGATGAGTTCAGTTGGATACGAGCAGTTGCCTCCAGCCGCTGCCGGGAGTAGTGATGAGGGACAAGATCTAGTCCTACCTCACTCCCGTAGAATACAGACGCTGGGAATGGACCTCCTACGCAAAACGGATAGAGCTAAGCCGGTTGATCACCGAGTGTCTCTCCTGAGCGAAAGGGACAGACTCCAATCTCCACTCAACGCTTTAAGTCTAGCTACCGTTGCTAAGCCTAGGATTGCAGCCTATAAAGCCGATCCGACAGCGAGAAACGTACGAATACATCCAGCATACATTGCTGAGCCTTGGGCTGCAGCTTTTATAGCCGGCCTACTGGCGGGAAACGTTCAGAGCATTAAAGGAGTGCGAGTAGATGATGCAAGCCTTACCCGCAAGATGATGAAGGGATACCGACCCCATCTCAGCGAGCTGCCACCTCCACCCTCGCCAAACAGTCTCAAGTTGAATCATCCGTTCTACGACAGCTTCAAGAAGGCTGAGGAAGAACACCTTGATAGCCACAAGAAGACTAAGTCATGGACGGAGGTGCCGAGCTTTCGAGCACGAAGAGAAGGGATCCAAATTCTGGACTCGATGTGGGTATACACCTACAAGCTTGACGAGCAGTCTCGACTTAAGAAGTGCAAGGCAAGGCTGGTGGTTAGAGGCGATCAGCAGAACAATGTTACCGCCCAAGAGACCTACGCCGCCACACTCACTGGAAGATCGTTTCGCATGCTTATGGCTATTGCTGCTCGGTTTAGCCTAGAGCTTAGGCAATTCGACGTTGCAAACGCCTTCGTCCACGCACTTATCGACCGACTAGTCTACATGCGTATGCCCAGAGGCTATTCCCGGCAAGGTACGATACTCCAGCTAGACAAAGCGCTGTACGGCCTCCGGATATCCCCTCTCCTGTGGCAGAAAGACATCACCGAGTACCTCACGAGTATGGGCTTCCTTCCAGTGCCCCACGAGCCATGCTGCATGCTACGCGACGGAGTCTTCATCTTCTTCTACGTCGATGATATCATTCTCGGCAACCACCCTGACAAGAGGGCCGCAGCAGACAAGGCAGTAGAAGAGCTGCGGAAGAAGTACACCCTTACCGGAGGAGAACCCCTGAAGTGGTTCCTAGGATTGGAGGTTATCAGAGACTTTGAAGCCCAGAAGGTTTGGCTCTCTCAAGCCGCCTACATTGACAAGATCACCAGACTCGTTACTGATCGTACGACACGACATGACACACCAATGGCACGAATTGAGCTGTTGCCAAGGAAAGACCTTGCAACGGCCGCTGAAATCAACCTATACCAACGAAAGATCGGTTCGCTCCTGTTCGTGGCAGTTAATACGCGCCCTGACGTTGCCTTTGCCACATCACGACTCGCACGATTCCTCACGAACCCGAGCACAGAGCATCAACGAGCCGCCGATCGCGCCCTCCTCTACCTCTACCACACACGCGCCTTTGGACTACAATTTGGCGGAAACGACAACCTGGTAGTAGCCAGCGACGCGTCATTCGCAGACAACACGGTGGACCGGAAGAGCTCTCAAGGCTTTATTCTTAAGCTATTTGGAGGAGCGATCGCATGGCGAGCAAACAAGCAAGACACGGTGACAACGTCAACTACCGAAGCGGAACTACTCTCTCTGGCACAAGCAGCGAAGGAGGCACAGTTCCTCGTACGACTGCAGACCGAGCTGGGTATCAAGCTCGAGGACTCGACGATCACGATCCAGTGCGACAACAAACAAACAATCCGGCTAGTCAACGAGAACACCTCCCAGCTAACGACCAAACTCCGACACGTCGATATCCACAACCACTGGCTACGGCAAGAAATACAGCGGAAGAAGATCAGGGTTGTGTACACGCCCACCAATGATATGATCGCCGACGGCTTCACCAAGTCCCTGCCCGGCAACAAGATGCGCCAGTTCCTTAAACACGTTGGGCTGGTAGATATTAAGGATAAGATTGTCGTTGAGGAAGGACAAATAGAAGGACTGCTGAACCGTTTAGAGAGCATGTAGATCGCAGGCACCACACCATAATGCCGCGACATTGAATATAATCCGCAGCGGCACAGGAAAAACTGGAGTCGTATAAGCGGAGGATTGTCCAGCCCAGAGCGTAGCTTGAGCTGAAGGGGTGTGTCAGATATGAGGTAGATTTTGGGTGGAAGGCAACGGAGTTGGAGATCATCACGTTACTTAGACCCCCTAGTCCTAAGAGGGACTAGGACAGGGCGACCTTCCGTCTCATCCCTCACGAGACTGCACCACACACACACAGACAATACACACACGTTTAACGATGATAATAATTAGAACTCTATTATCTGACACTACTAGAGTACCTCTAGACTTTAATTAGGCTAGGTTAACGCCGTAAACGTTAGTAAACACAAGGTTTTCTTCTTAAATTTAAGCTTAAGGTAGACTAACAATAATATAGAATTAGTCTAGCTTAAATAGGTCTTTAAGCGCTTTACAAAGGAGAAAGCAAAACGCAACTATAGGCTTCTTATTCTTAACGGCTACGGTAGTTATCTAAAGTTAGATTTCATAGATTTTTGCGACAGCAATTAAATCCTTCTAGCTATCTTTCTTCTCTACGTAACCTACAGCCTCTAGCCGCTTAATATAGTGCTCTTTACGCCTCTTTTAAAGAACTACTTCTAAGAACTTAACTACTACCTCTACTATTTGTAAGGCCTTACAAGAGTTATAAAACGCGACTTTTTTAACGTCTTTTAGCCTACTTAGAGCTCTATAATAAGGCTAGATCTTATATTAAAGAGTTTTTAAGCTACAGGCGTGTAGCTAATAGATGCGGACGCTATACTAAAACGCTTTAATACTACTACTTTAGAGCAAGATAAGACTTTAAAACTTAGGTATTACAGCGATAGCAATAGCTAGAGAGAGCTGCGCAAAATTTTTAACTCTACGGTTACTAATAAGGCTAGAATTAAAGCCTAGCGGCTTAAGGCTTTATTACACTGTTACAAGGTAACAAGGAGTTGTTTCTTCTTTATGCAGGTCGCATGAAGAGAGACCATCGGGCGGACACGATGGAAGGATGTGGATCCAAGGCGGGGCCTGGATCACGTGACTGACATCCCGCCAAGGCTGACCATCCGGGATGGCAGAGCCCCTTGGGATGGCAGAGCCATCACAAACATCCCTTGCACTTGGGATGGACGGGATGGCAGGAACAGACTGCAATGAGTATATAGGATGGACGGTTTTCATTATTACTCTCGTTGTGGTCAACTCAAATAGTTCATCTCTCGCACAGATTGTCAACTAGTTAT